GCAGAATACAGAAGCTGGTCACAGAAGCCCTTTTTGTAGGATCTTGTGCATTATTTAGGCAAAATCCTCCAGCCTGCATTAGGCAAAAAGTCAGGTTAGATAATTAGAGTTGTCCTAGCTGGCCTGAAAGCCTCCCAGCTGGCTGTGCCCCGGGTTGGGGTGAAAGGCCAGATTTCTCACAACAGCAGGAACAGGGCAAAAGGGAGGGAGAAGACTGTCAAGTGCTCTGCTTCCAAAACCAAGGCCTAGTTTTTGCAAAGAGCTCAACACCTGCGGTACTCTGCTTTGGGAAGGCTTCTTCTTGCATGTATGTCCTTGGAAGTGTTGACTTTCTTACTGTTCACCTGTTGTGAAACGGGAATCTTATGCATTGATAAATGGGGTTTAGTGTCTTTCCTGGTAGCCCCTCTGGGTGCCCTTGGTTGCACACTCTTTGGTAAGCTGCAGAACTGGCTTTTTGCCTCCTGCCAAGATCAGACTCCAGGGGGGCATTTTTTTTTTTCCAGAAGAGAATGTGTGCTTTTGCTGGCAAGCTCCGTGTCTAAGCACTGGCTCTTTCCGAACTCGTGATGCCAAGAGTGTTTTTATATATTTACTTCCTTTATAAGGACATCAACAGGCACCCCACCCATCCCAAGTTTTGCGTCCCTTGATAGGCTTCTTTTTCACAATAAATCCTCGGATACAATGGAGTGTTACTCCCAGAACTAAAATAACTGTAGACTTCATTAGTGAACTCTGCAGCCAGGGATGAAATTTGTTCCCTGCTTGACATCCCTTAAATGATGGGCACAAGCCCTCGGGGCTGCAGTATCTGGCAAGCCAGATGGAGAGGGGAATCCTAGCTCTGCTGAAGCCAGTGGGTGTTCCCATGCAGTCAGGATTTCATCCCAAGTCTGTGCTGAAGTGGGGAGGGGTGGTTTTTCCTGCCCTTTCCGTCCTCAGGGCAGGGTAGCCTTTCCCACCCAGATTGGAGTCAGATATGCTGTAGCATTTAGCCTTCACTGAGCTCTGGTGTTGCCTTTATATGACACTTTCTCTTGACAATTTACAGCAACTAGCATCGTGATACAACTGATAGGTACGGAGCAATGGAGATAGGGACCGTCAGAAGGCAGTTCAGGAGCTTCGGTCCTTCTCCACTGATTATAAAGAGAGCCTAGAGAGATTAGGCTTCTAATGTAGATGCCTTAATTAAGTGCCTAAGGATTAGATGGCATGAATCTGACCCCAAATGTCCCTCTAGGCAGATGCTGAATTAGCACTGAACTTGAACTGGAACATGGGTCTGGAAGAGACCATCTCAGCTGTTAAGTCTCTGGGAACCATGTTTAGCCCAAAAGCATTCAGAGACTGCTCACCTGTCCTACCCCAAGGCACACGGACCTGCAGAACTCCTTCCCAACCCTGCAGCAAACTTACAGCCTTGATGGACGTTGATGGGTTTTGTTCTTTTATTAGTAATATACTGCAGATGGAGAAATCAACAGTGTCACTTATGTCTCACAGCCTTGTATCATCAGGGGGGAAGATGGATGAAAGTACCCAGCCAATCTTAAGAATTGCATCTTATCCTCAGCCTACAGAAGGCGGCAAAAAGCAGGGGACAGGACTCCTTCATGGCCCCAAATCTGGCAATCAGTTTAGCCTGAGCATGTGAGCAGGATGCATCAAGCAGGCATCAGTAGCTGGGTAATGAACAATGAAATGAAATTCCTGTGTTTCAAACCATCTAGCTGGATGAACCTCACCATCTCTGCTGGGCCAAATTTATGTTTGATATAATTTCAGTGAGGCTAATAAAGTTAAGAGTGCCAAATTAGAGTGATTGCGTGTGATCCACTCCAACAGTGACTTCTGCTAAGTCTGGCCAGCTGTGAGAATGGAAACCTTCCTGTAAGGAGCAGCCCTGAGAGCCACCAGCATGTCCTGTGGACGACCGAGCAGCTTTGAGACAGGGGACAGCTTTGAAGTCATTGAGGACTGAGTGAGCATGATTCTCTTTACTATGCTGCTTGTACCGGCTTTTTATTTTGGCTTCTGCAGGCAGAGTGCCACTGGGAGAGATCACGCTGAGCCAAAAAACTATGTGTGTGCTTGCCTTAATTTTATTCTTTAGCCTTGCATGATTTTTAGCAATTATCTAAATGTCTTATTTTTTAAATTACTATAAGTTCAGGAAAGCCACTGGTTGGGGATGGTGAGTGAACCCAGAAGAACGTAACAAGGTGAATTAAACACCCACTATTCTTTGCTTGGGGGAGATTTTAAGCAGTGTTGACATCTTTATCCCTTCACTTGAGGCAGCTCAGGCAAAAAGAAGAGATGCAAATCGGTGTTAACTTGGGTGTTTCCTCCCTTTGATCATTCTGAGTCACTCAACCTTCATGTTCTTCTCTTGCTTCTTGGCAAGTGGCATGTCCAGTGGGGTGAACAGTTCAGCTGCTAGCATTAGGGGTAGTTTTTGTTGTCACAGTGCCCTAAGAAAATCTTGGACCATGGGTGTAAGGAGTTCCCTAACATCATCCTTCATGTTCTGCTGCTCCTCTACTTTCTTTTCAGCTTATGGTAGAAAGGTGCCTTTGTGGCAGACTTGCTTTGGGCTCCGAGAGGCAAAGTGGGCTCCTCTGTCCCTAGAAACCCTCATACGGAGGGCTTGGCACTGCTCCTGGCACTTTGCAGTGAAGATACTCGTGCAAGATGTTGGTTCTGTTGGTTCCAGTAAATGAGCTAGAGTGGATCCAGGTGCTCGTCTCTTGGCAAGGCAGGGGAGACCATTGGCTGGCCACGGCAGAGCTAAGGTGGCTTGAAGGATGAGCAGGATTGCAACTCTGTACGTTTTACTTCTGCTACTGTTCTGGGAAGATGAAAGCATTCAGGTGGATGATAATGAGCAGCTTGGTAAGGATGTTTTATAATTGAATTATTCTTTATTTTTGTTGTAGGTTGAAAACTTAATCAGCCATCATAATGCTGGTTTAGTGCTGAATATTCCCCACAAAACTCCTGACAGGTGAGTGAGCGTTATGATTTTGGTTGAACAGTTCATTTGAGGTCATGCAGCAGGTTAAAAGAAATTCTGAAAGCAGAATTTGGAAGATCATGGCTCAAGGTGCAACTGCTGCTTTTTGGACAAGGAGCAATGTATGAATCAAGCCATACATTAAGCACTGTCCTTTTAAAAAGGCACAAATATAACACCTACAAATGCCCCATATGGTTTGGAATTCAGCTGTGGTTTATATTCTTGCTGTGTGAGAAAATGAGAACAGAGGTGTGTAGCACACTATCCCTGTCTTATTCATGAGCAGTGGGAGAATGTCCTGCAAAATGTGAGCAGCTAATTTTAGGCGACAACATAGTTTAAGGTGCCAAGCCTTCCAAAAGGGGAAGGAATGTATATCCAGCTAGACTGCCTTTAGCTCCGAGCTGCTCTAGGGCACTGGATGTTTATACCACCTCCAGTACATTAAATCTTTTGTGTGGAGACATAATCCTTCATTGTGACATTAGTAGAGGTAGCTGTTACAGAAATGATTGTGAAATCCCTCGTCTTATGGAAGAGGAGAAGAAGGAGGTGCATCTGAGGTGGTTTGCACTGTGCTAATGCTCTCCAGCCCCAAATCCCAAGGGGCTTTCCAAGTGCTAATTAATTAAGAGTCAGAGTTGTCTGTTTTCAGCAGTGGACAAACAGTGGCATAGAGAGTGTGGAGGCTGATCTGGTGTCTCCAGGGACCTGAAAGGACCTGAATAAAATGCAGGGCTTGATTCCCAGCTAGGATGCCCTACACTTGGAGGCAGGAAGGAAGGAGGCTGAACTTAAATGACCCAACTCCCTATGCACTCCCTATATTTTTCTTCATCTTCTGTCCTACTTCCCAACACACTCTGCTGGGACGTGATAGGGACTGCATGGCACAGTGCATTCTGCATGTGCTCCTGCCCCCCCTGCTTTGTGTTGGCCCAAAGTAAGTACATAAATCTTGCACTACTTCTACCCTGGAAAGGTCCCTGACTCAAAGGCATGGCTCCATCTTTTTAAGGTCACTTCATGTGCGGCACAGAGGATTCCTGTCCAGTACCCTGCTCTGTCACGCCCCAGGCCAGCAAGGACTAAGAGTGCCCTCTGCTGCACTCCTTCTCCTCATCTTTCCATGGCAGCATTCCACTTGCTGTTTGGGAATAAACAAAACGACTCTTTTAATACACAAAACAACTCTTTCATATTCTAAAGGTCTTCTTGTGCAGGCTGTGCAGAAGCCTGGTTCTGTATTTCAGCAGCAAACAGAAAAGATCATGCCCTGAGATAAAAATGTGTGATATCCTGCATCAATCCCGAGGCGCAAATAAAGCACTACAGGGAACTGCTGTCCTTTGTCAATAACCTTCACCCTGTAGCTTTTCATTGCCTCATAAAACAAGCAGCTCCTCGTTGCAGGAGTTCAGACAGCAGTCTTTATAGTCATGAAACTTTCATTTCTCGGAGCTGGCAGCAGCAAGCGCTGGTGATGCACGGTCAATTATGGTACCTAATTGCGCCTAACAGCGCTGAACTTTCCATCTCTCCCTCCTGTTCAAAGGAAAAACATCGAGCACCACAAAGCTCTGCTTATTTAAGTCCTCAGCTCTTGCAGCCAAAAAGGAATGGATGTAGTTTTTTGGTTGTGTCAAGACAGCTGTCCCAGGCTTCATACTTTTGGAGTTAAAAAGAGGAAAAATTAAAAAATAATAATCCTGCTTTTACTGGGATTTGATTTACCCACGTGGAAAGTAACCAAGCTGCAGGCTGCGCCGGCAGCCCTGTAACCGCCAGGACCACAGGAATCTGCTCATGTTCCCTGGAATTTGGACATTTTTTGTTGCACCCATTTCAGCGTGCTTTCCAGATTGTCACTCAAGTGCGGGGCACGCCCCCTCCAGGAGGCTATTTAAAGAGGAGCTGGTGTGCAACTTTCTCCAAAGAGAGACGAGAAACTCCGAAGGAGTGAGTCAGTCAGCAGCCTGAATCCCCTCCCTTCCCTTTACTCGGGATGTCTGGCAACTTGGGGACAGTGACCTGGACCCTGTTCCTCCTCCTCCTTGCTCCTGGCTGGGTATGTATTGCACTGCAGCAGCTCTGTTTGCTAGCTGGGTGTTACAGCTTCTTGCTTTGATGCATGCGAATACTTTAGGCTGAATAACTTTTCCCAGCTGCCACCTGCCTCCAAAGGTTTCTGAGAGAAGGTTGGCTGTTAGCAGAGCAATGCAAATGCACCGTGTAACTAAATCACGCTCGGAGCTGCACTGCGCGTAATGCCTGTCATCTACGGATCTCGAAGCTCTTGGCAAATGTGAATGGATTTTATTTCACTCCACTCTTGTGAGCTAGAAGCCAGCCCTGGTTTACAAGGGGGGAGAGGAGAACAGAGAGAGGTGAAGTCACTGAATTTATGTCACTGCAAGAAATAAAAGTCTCGTATCCCAGGTCCTTACCATCACCATCCTTCCCCAGCTGCCACTGAATCCACCCATGTGTTCCCAAAAACAGTGATCCTGAGGGGGAAATTAAACTGCAGCCTCTCCAGAGCGGGATTCGTGCCTGTTTTTGTGTTAATACAAGTGCTTGGTAGAGCAGCTGATTCTGCTTAGGACTTTTGTGTGCTATCACAGTGCCATTAATAGCAGGAACATTGCTGCAGTCATTAATGTATCTAAATTGCAGTAAGTGCCTTTTGGATCAGTGAAGAAATCAGGTTCACAGAGCCACTGCACCTTGTCAAGCTTATTGTGCTGATAGATGCAATAAACTTCTGGTTGATAAGGTCTGTTTGATCGCTCCTGGCAGCACGCAGCATGTGCCTGCCCCTTTCCTGCCGGAAAAGGTGTCCTGTGCACCTAACACTACTGTGATCTAAGGGTAACTTCTGTGATTTGGGATGGTCGTCTTGTTTCTTGCACTGACCCAGCTTTGGCAGCATCATACTGGTCATATAAACAATAGCAGCGAATCCCACCGCTGTGACACTTTATTATTACTCTGAGATGATGTCATTTTCTCTAAACCTGCTGACTGCCTTAGAAATAGGACTTTTGACTTTCTTTGAGCTCTGAGTGATGATTAGTGGATCGAGCAAGGAAACGAGAGCTGTTGCTCCTGAATCTGCCTCCTGTGTTGTTCAGAGGTGAGAGTAGAACCAGGATGGCTGGGAGTTATGTTCAGCTCTGCCAGGCTCAGCCTAGGCAAGTCTCCGTGCCTCCGCTCTCTGTGAAATGGGGGTAGTGGTTCTTGTCTCTTGTAATAGGCTGTTGTACAATGTGCTACAGCAGCCTGGGAAGGTGTCTTGAGAGCCTGTGATAGAGAGAGAGCAGGTATTATCTGTGATAATTCAGTGTTTGGAGTATGTGACTAGCTGTGTTTTGACTGCTTTATCTGCTACCAGTCTTGGAGCGTGAAAGAGAACCAGTTACGTGTTTATTGTATTACTTCTACCTTGCAGCATTAACCCCCGGCTCCCAAAGCACTTTGCAAACAGCTAGCTCAGCTTAAAAACACTCCTTTCCCAGCCCTTTGAATGCAGTCATGAGCCCAAATGCATTTTAAAAATCCTCTTTGGCTTGGCCCTCTTAGCTGGTTCCCTGGGCTCATGTGGACATTGATCAGGAATGAGAAGTCCTGACGATGCCAGAGAACTGCTGCAGTGGTGTGAGCTCGTGTCTCCCCACTCGTGCCTTCCTGAGGGCGTAGGGGGGAGAGGTTTTATGTGAATATGAAGCAGGAAGAACGTTCTCACTTTTTCTTTCCCCCTAGGTAACTGGGTTCGGTGCTGGCAGTTGGGAGGAAGCCTGTTCTGGCTTGTCAGTTGAGCAGATGGGACCTGGGAGTCAGTGGTGGAGAACACGTATGGAGCACAGGCAAGGGAATCCTCTAGTCAGATTGTTTTTACTCCCATTGTGGCTTGGCTATCACTCAGGGGTCCTGGGAGTGGCAGATTCCCACATGGTGTTTGTGATCGATACGAGAGCTGCTGACAAAGCAGGAGCAGGGAGAGCTAATATTCCAGGTTTTAGCACTTTCTTAAATCTATAGCCTTGATCTCTAATACCGGTTCTGTGCTGCTGCTCTCGAAGTTCACAGAGACGCACTGCAAACCTCAACAGAAACAAGGTCAAGACTGTAGTGAACTTGAAGTTAGGATCCTGCTTAGTGAAGGTAAAAGTGTAATTTCGGGGACAGACCCTTCTGCAGAGGGGAAGAAAGTTAAATGTTCTCTAAGTTGAATCCCTCTGTACCCAGGTCGGTGGCACGTTATGTGGAAATGCTGCTCTTTGTGATACATATGGGTCTGTAGCAAAGCCCTGAATGCAGTCCTTGCAGTTCTTTGGGACAGTTTGGGCAGTTTCGACACTGTAGTGAAACAACTCCTAGAAGCAGCCCTTAAAAATAACGCAGGGTAGAGGGTGATCCATGCAAATCCAACATAATCCATTATTTAGCCTATTTGAAATTGCTGTGAAAGCAAATGAAGTAATGGAGAACTCTAGGAAGTTGGTTCAACGTTGACTTTCTACCAGCTGTTCCCAACTCAAGAAGTTCCCCTCACCAGTCAGTTATTCAGTGCTCACTGTTGAGTGTGCATGAGCCAAGAAAGATTTCAGATCATTCTCTCCTCTCTTGCGCTCATGAGAGGAGCGGGAGTTATAAATAGCACGAGCTGACTTTGCTCAATAATAAAACAAGCAAACAGGAGCCCAACACACCCTGGGGCCAGGTGGACTGGGTGATGAAAAGAGGCATGTCTGAGCTGACTGATTGGAAAATCTCAAAGTATTGAAAAGAGCCCTGCAAATACGGATGAATTGGGCCTTTTAAGCCGTGCTTGTACTCACAGGTGGGGGAAATGAGGCACAGAAGAGGTAGGGGTGCAGAGTCACCCAGCAGGTCTCTGGTACGTCAGAGATCTGAATCCAGATGTTCTTGTGCTGAAAAGCAGCCATAATATAGTGAGGAAGTGAGGCTGATTGTGAACAGAAGGTAAAACCAGGTGGTCTAGTCTCTTTGGGTGAGTTATTAAGGGAAATAAACACCACTGATTAATGAAGGTGAGAAAGAAAACTCACCTTTGGGTGAGTTGGGTTTAATTCTGTTGCATTCTCTGTTATCCTGAAAGAGGTTGTTTTGGTTTGTTTTTCAGTAGGAGAGCTATTTTGAGAGTGTTTCTTTATATGGCCTGTGGCTGACACTGCATTGGAAAATGCTTGTTGTCATTATTTTTTTTAAGTGCATGGATTGCATCTTAATATAGGTCCTGTGTTAGGAATGCTTTGCCTCTTCTATGATCTCATGTACCCCCCACCCACTCATCCATGGTTGAATAACACGTCCTTTTGGCAGCTGCAGCAATTGCATACATGAAAAACAGTAGGAAAGCATTTCTGTATTTTTAGCTTCTTTTAATGCACTTCAGCAGTCAGGAAGAGATCCCTGTGACATGCCAGCTCCCAGCGAGTGGCCCTAGGACTGCTGTCTGAGAACAGCTGGGCTACAGGCAGGAGGGGCTTGTTTCCAAAATACTTTGCACTAAGAGTTTTCAAGGAGAATTATGCTGATGCCTGCTGAGCGGGGTGAGACTCTGGGAGGACTTGTGAGTTAAGATTTAGACTGATCCCTGTCCTACACCATACTGTGCTGATTGTTACAGAAGTACAAAGCAGCTGGCGTCCTCTAACCCCATGTGAGCTAAAGTCAGAGCAGCTGTTTTGAGCAACAGTCAAAACAGCTGGAAAAGTTTTACTACTGTTATTGGTGACAAACACAATATGCAAGGAAGCTGTTTCACAAGCAAGGGCTGGATGGGATATAGCAAGTGCAAACAGAGCTGTAGCAAGATTTTTTTTTGGCCTCTGTTCCAGGTGTTTCCCCCTCCCGCCTGCCCCCAGGCTCCTTCCAGCTGCTGCAGCCCCTCTCCCTGGGTGGCAGTGGCCGGGTCTGGCAGCGGAGCTGGGAGGGGTCTGCCCTGTCGGCTGCGTTCCTCTTCACCCCAGCTCACAGCAACACAGGATCCCAAAGCGTTTTGCTGGCATCATCTACACGCAAGAGTTGTATCAGCCCCGTGGCAGCAGCTGCCCCTGGGGTGGGAGCTGACCCGTGTCTAGCAGCACGCGGCATCTGAGCACTGCAAACTGGAGCAGTGCTCTTGCATCCCTCTGAACTACCTGGAGAATTTTAGTGGGCAGAAGCTGAAAAGAAAACCAGGCTAGAGTTGGCACACTGATGTTTCTAAGGAGGTATAAGAGGATCTTTCCAGACCATATGCTCTGCACCTTTCTCAGTCGTGGTTTTACACCTTGCCCAAATCTGGGCACGTACAGAGCTGAGGCTAGTGTGTTCACTCCAAGCTGACTCAGGACAAGGATACCACAGACTGAGTTATTGGAGTGTTTGAAACATCCTGGGTTTTCCGGAGAAGGTGACCCTCCTTCAGACATAGCCTGATCTCTGCTTAGCATCTGAAGTGGCATAAAAGCTAAGGGTGGCTTCCAAGAGGTGGCCAGCACTTCTGAAATACTACCAAGCGGGGCAGCTGTAGATTCACAAGGTCCCAAGGAAGGTTGATTACGCTGCTTTCCCTGGAAAGGGAAGAGGAGAGGGCACATCTCTGGGAATAACGAAGAAAGTATCAGATCCAGAGGACAAAATGGGGCTCGGGAGACTTTGGGTCAGTTTTCAGCGCTGGCTGACTTTGGGCAAGTCCTTTCACTATGCGCCTCGCTTTTTCCACCTTTGGACTGGGTCTGGTGATGCTGCTGCAGAGTGCTTTGATGTTTTCTCCTGAGCAGTGCTATGTAAGAGCTGGGAGTTGCTTACTGTTAATAATTACCATTTTATTGCTTCCAGGGGAGCGGAGGGCTGAGCTGCGCATGGGACTCCAAGCTACTGCTTGTCCTGTTTGTTTTGGCCCTGCTTCCCAGAGCCATCTTTTTTTCCTTGAGCTCCAGATGAGTTAGGGGTGAGAAAAAGATTAGTCTTGTAAGTCCTGGGGGGCTGCACGCACATCCCCTGCAGCAGGGCTCTCCAGTGGAGGGCAAAGTCGGTTTTCCCTCCTTGCGATGGGATGTCTGTGCTTGAAGCAGAATCGTGTTTTTTATTTCTCTGCCTGGCTGGCTTGCGGGAGACTCATTCTCTCCATGGCTTGTCTGCCCTCCAGGTAGAACCGCAGGCCTGCACGTATCCATGCCAGTGTCCCTCCCAGCCTCTGCAGTGCCCCGCTGGCACCAGCCACGTGTTGGATGCCTGTGGTTGCTGCAAGGTGTGTGCCAGGCAGCTTGGCGAGCTCTGTTCCCTGCAGAAACCCTGCGATCATCACAAGGGACTCTACTGCGACTTCTCCAAAATCCACAGAGGCAGCGGGATCTGCTTAGGTGAGAGCTGTATGTTCTGTTATTATGCGGTTTTCTCGTGGCCCCTTCAGCCCTCTGCCTGCAGACCTCCCAGAAAACCCACGGCATCGTCAGAATTTCCTGTAGTGCTTGGAGCTTCATCCAGCATCACGTTGTGAGATCTGTGCCAGCCCTGCGAGCCAACAGATTCACTGATACCGATACACACGCAACCTACTTCCTCTTGCAGCGAAGGATGTTTCCAAAGGCACGAGTGGGGGTTTGTTCCCGTGACATTTGTTAGGAGACATCCTCTAGCCCTGTAGCGCCTGTGGGTAAATATCAGCAATCTGGACTTTTACTGGAAAGTACAGTTGCTTGGAAAATCTCACCCAAAATCTCACTGCCTTGCACTGGAGATTGGCATTTTGCACTCGACTGCTTACATGCAAGAGGCGTACCGTATTTCTGGCTTTAGCATGTGGGTGGAAAGAGCTGAACAACTCGTTTGCAAAATAGTGTATATGTAGAACGTGAGAATTACTGAGCCAGGTAAATACAAATGCAGACCTGTTTTCTCTCCTGCTGCCTCTTTTCAGCCAGAAAAGAAAAATATTTTTTACTTTTTTTGTTTAGTAGCTATTTTTAAAGCATGCAAAAATTATTTTGGTGTAGAGGAAAAAAAAAATATTTCCTCAGGCTCCTGTTCTTTGTTTAAAAACAAGACTCCTCTGCCCCGTCTCTGCCAGGAGCTGACTATTTTTTTTAATTCAAGCTTTTCAAAATAGTCAGGAAGACACGAGGGCTGGAAAGCTGATGTGAACGCTTTGGGAAGCACTCAGCCACTGAACTCAGCATCTCTGGAAATGCTCGGGCAGCCGTACCCCTCGCACCCCCCGAGGCAGGGGCGTTAGGGATTCGGGGTGGAACTGCACTGTTTTGGAGTGCCAGGATCACATGCAGGTTTTTTTACTCTAAATAATGAATTTAACTTGTAGAAGGTGTTTTCTCCTTTCTTTTGAGAAGTTTTTATAAGTTATTTGTTTAGTTTTCCTCCCGCAGTTATTGTGATCTTTAGAAGCCACATGAGCTTCCTAGTACTTTCTGTAGGCATTGATACACCTAAGAGCTGATGATTGAAGCTTAATAAGGTGAACGTAGGCGTAATAACATCCAGCGGGTGTAAGCTGTAAACTGCCTAATTAAGACTGGAAATGAGGTGTATGTTTGTAAAGGTAGCTAAGTCACTGGAACAATTTACTCAGGAGTGTGGAGAAGTCTCCATCTCAAAGACTTCACATGAAGACTGGACATCTTTCTAAAGACAGTGCTTTGTATTCACCATGACGTATGGTTTTGATACAAAGATTTTGGAGTGAGAGTCCCAGATCCTTGCTGTGTAGAAAATCGGACTTGAAGACCACAACTGCCTTCCTGCCTTTAAATGAGAAATTAAGATTTTCATGGCAAAAATCCCAGATGGACATAAACCGGGATATCTCCCTAAATTGGACTGAGGATTTGGTCTGTAATGTCCTTAGGTGATATTTTTGTGATGTCCACACTGGTCGCTTGGAACATGGGTGATTTTGGAGGCAGTGAAGGAAGCTGAAGGTGGAGTGAAGAATCAAATGATGGGAAAGATCAATGTTTGTGAATAGAGAAGAGAGGACTTAGAGGTATACAACTAAGACAGATGTGATGGGAGCAGAAAGGAGCAGGGAGGTGTTCAGGTGTCATGGGAAAAGCTTCTAGGTTGGGTACCAGCCCGAAGGCTGTATCAGAAGAGACAGGAAAGGAACCATCAGAGTGAAAATTACTGTATATTTGTTTAAGGTTATCACAGTATGTAACATTTCACGTATTGCAGAGGAATTCTTCCCTTCCTGCAGAGACCTTGGAGTAGAGACAATCCCATAGTAACTCTAGAGCAGGAGAGCCTAAGGGTGGTAGGGTGGCCTGCGTGGGTGGCAGAGCTGCGGCGACTGGAGCGGCTCACTTGAGTTCTGCCATATTTTCTGTGGAAAAGGGCAAAAGTCTCCCTGGCTGGACGTGGTGTTTGGAGGCGGGAGGTGGCAGCAGTGCCAAGCGGAGCTGGTAAATAAAGAGCTGTCTCACTCCGCTGGTGCAATCCGTTTTGGTGCTTTAATTGGATCAGGTCAACAGGAAAGTGAGGTCATTGTAGGGTAATGAAGAGCATGACAAAACGATTGAGTTTTGAAAACATAATAAAACCCCCGAGCAGGCTGCCATTCCTTGGGTGGGGAGGAGCGCTGCTGAGGGAACAGCACGATCAGTTCATCGGGAAGGAAGAGGGCTTGGGCTAAAAAACAGTGAAAGAGGATTTAAAAATAAGTATGAATGGTTGTGTAGAGGGAAAGTGGATGGCTTCCACTTCGATGGAAAAAGTGAGGATTTTGAAACTTCTAAGTAGGAGCACAGGAGTATTTTTATACCAATGGCATTGAAAAGAATTGCAAGTTGAGATCCAGCTCTGGTTAGAAACAAGGCATTAGCAGCCCGGAAGGATTTGTGTCCCCTCAAGGACTAGGTGGGATGGAAAGAGGCTCTCGCTCCTTGTTTGGTCCAAACACTTTCTGTCTGAGACAATGTTCCATGGGCGAGCAGGACTAAGGGGAAAATAGATCAGGTTTCCTGGTAAGCCTCTGCGAGCAGCCAAGAATCCTTCATTTTGGTAACTTCCCAATAGAGGTTTGCATGGAGTTTTTTGTTTTTTAAGGGTCAGGATTGCAGAAAGCAGCAGCTGATGAGAACTGTCCAAAAGCAGGATTTCTCTCCTGTGAACAACTCTGAGATTTCAACATTTCATTTCAGGCTGAAAGAAAAAAAAATAATTAAAAAAATCTCAAAACTTTGCATGAGTTATGCAGAATACTCATTTGGCTCTGTCAAAACTTTCCACTTCCATTATATCAAAATCTTGACCTTTATAGTATCTAAAATAATTACCCGAGCAAAATGCTTCCCCCTATGGAAACTGTCCAACAAGTATTTTGGTTGAGCTATTGTAAGAGCATAAAGGAAATCTTTGATATCAAATTGAACTGCTTCAGTTTTTTCTATTGAAAACATTTCTGACATTGATCTTGCCTGCAAAACTCTTAATCAAATAAGAGTTTTCTGCTAGAAAACTTCCACTGGAAAAATTTTGGCTAATACAGATGTAAGAACTTGTGAGTGTTGGTCGCACCTGCAGACTGAAGATTGCTCCTATGTGTCAGATATTGTTGCGTTTCCTTTTTTGCTCATTTAAGTTTTATTGGGAAGGAGTGAAAGACTTGTAGGAGGGCTGGAGATGAGAGATCTGGAGATCAGAACAGGAGAAATAGAAAAAGTTGTGGCTGGAAGGAAGAAGAGATTCATGCATCACAGAGGAGCCAAAAAGGTCATAAACCCGAAGTGTTATTTTCCTTTTGTAGGTACCTTTAGACATGTGGGGAACCAACTGCTCGTAACAGAATGTTGCCTTTTGGTCTCCTGGGCATAACGGGGAGCAAAGCTGCTGGCTCACGTGTCGTGTAAGGAATGCATCTTGCACAACACCACTGACTGGGGCACTCTCTGAGCCGGGCAGGAAGACCTCTGACTGGAGAACAGGCTGTTTACAAGCTGTAAGACAAAGTCCCGCTTAGTAGCTCACCCAAGTGGAGAAGAGATTTTTCTAGAGAACTTTGGGGGGTCTGGCACGGCTGGAGCCAACTTCCAAAAATCAGTGTCGGGAATAGCCTTAGGTCCAGCGAGCCAAATATTAAATGTGCCAACTTCTGCTGCTTCCCGCACTGGGATGGCAGAGCGGGGAGAGTCTGCACGTGGGCACTTGTCCCTTGTCAGGAACCCTGTGACCCCCTGAGGCAGCGGCCGTGCTGCCAGCCCATACCATCTTCTCAGCTTCTCCTCTTCCCCCTTACCACAGCTCACGAGGGTGCAACCTGTGACCTGCTGGGCAAGATCTACCACAACGGGGAGAGCTTCCAGCCCACCTGCAAGCTGCAGTGCATCTGCATGGACCGTGGGCACTTGTCCCTTGTCAGGAACCCTGTGACCCCCTGAGGCAGCGGCCGTGCTGCCAGCCCATACCATCTTCTCAGCTTCTCCTCTTCCCCCTTACCACAGCTCACGAGGGTGCAACCTGTGACCTGCTGGGCAAGATCTACCACAACGGGGAGAGCTTCCAGCCCACCTGCAAGCTGCAGTGCATCTGCATGGACGGGGCCATCGGCTGCATCTTCCGACGACCTGCGGCTGCCGTCCCCCGAGTGCCCCAACCCCCGGCGGGTGAAGTTTCGCAATAAGTGTTGTGAAGAGTGGATCTGCGAGGAGGGCAGCGAGGAAAACCGCTTCGAAACAGCCATGGCGGGTGAGTGGTGGGCAGATGTGATGGGGCCGGGAGCTCTTTGCTGGGGGATAGGGGTGGATCCAAACTGCCGTTGGGATGGGGCCTCAAGTCACGTCTGGTTTGGAACTGGTGGTGATTGCTCACTTTGTGCACTGAGGTGTGGGTACCAAGTGTTGGAACTCCGGACCCATTAAGGTGAGACCTTAGTGATGCTGCGGGGAGGCTCGCACCCCCTCTGATACTGCAGCAGAACTGGCTGGAGCTGGGCTGTGGTAGGAAACGGCCCCGTGCTTGCCTGCGTCCTCCTTCTGCTGAGAGGCTGAGTAGCTCACAGGATGGATCAGACCTTTGCAACTGTCTCTGAAGAGTTAGACCAAGTTGGGAGCAGCCACAGAGCTGCCACGCTTTGTCCCAAGCCCTGAACCTTTCCTTGTGTCTCTTCCACATGGCTCAGTTTTCAGGGAGGATCCAGCACACAAGCCGGAGCTGAATAACCTGCAGGAGAACTGCTTGGTGCAGACCACCGAGTGGAGCGCTTGCTCCAAGAGCTGCGGCATGGGCATCTCTGCCCGCGTAACCAACGACAACCCCCAGTGCCGCCTGGAGAAGGAGACCCGGCTCTGCATGGTCCGGCCCTGCGACTTCCCTGTGGAGAAGACCAAGGTACTGGGCTCGGGGAGAGGGAACACAACACCGTGAATGCCAGGAACAACCTAGTTAGGTCCTTGTCAGGCATGAGCCTGTCTCACAGGGTTTGCTCTGTGTCCTATTGCCCAGTGATGGAGATAGAGCACAGGCCTAGGTGGACCTTCTGTCTGATTGTCATGTCCTTGTTAACCCATCTGCTCTCTCCCTAGAAGGGGAAGAAGTGTGTGCGGACCCCAAAGCCACGCCAGAGCCTCCACTTCGAGTTTTCGGGCTGCACCAGCACCCGTTCCTACCGGCCCAAGTTCTGCGGCAGCTGCACGGACAGCCGCTGCTGCACCCCGTACGTCACCAGCACCGTGGAGGTGGAGTTTCGCTGCCCCGAGGGAGACTTCTTCCAGCGGAAGATGATGTTCATCAAGGTGTGCTCCTGCCACTACGACTGCCCCCGAGACAACGACATCTTCTTGGCCACGTATCACAGGAGGATGATTGGAGACCACGTCAAGACAGAGAGGCAGTAGCCCTCTCCGTGCCAGATCCACAGGCCAAGGTGTCAAGAGGGCTCTGCAGCGCTTTTGTGGCTGTGTCCCAGGACAATGCAGCCTCTTCCCCCTCTGTGAGGGGCTGTGCTCTTCAGAACAGCACCGTTCGCCACCGGTGGTCCCAGTGGCCTTGCTAACAAGCCGACGTGCAGGGGGGAACAGCCCCACCTGCCCCAGGCTCCTGACCTTCACCCACGGTGGTGCAAAGGTCAATGAAGGAACCAGAAACAGGCTTGAGCTGCAAACTTGATCCATGTTCCCACAGACCAGATGGGAGAGTGGATCAAAGCCGCGTGGCTCCAGCCTGTCTCCAGCTGAGAGCACAGTGGGAACGGTTCCCCGTGGCCACTGGCCTGCCAAAACCACGCGGCAAACCCAGAGCAGGAGATAGGAGAAGCCCAGGAGGCCCGAGCTAAAGCCGAGCTCTGCAGCCTGCTTTCCAGCAGAGTGGGGCAGCGTGTGGATGCAAAGCTTCTCGGTGAGGAAAGTGGTCCTGGCCCCTGGCTCTTGCTGAGCTTTTCAATTATTTTTGGCTAGCTGGATCCAACAAATTGGCAAAAGCTCTTCCCCATCTTTCACCCTCCCATGTGCTTTGTTCCAGATCAGTTTGCTCCTAGAGAGGCCGGATCGTCTGCTGGGTGAGCCATTCTCCAGGCAGCTCAAGGCTGGGCTTTTTTCCCCGTTAAATTCATTTTAGCCTGCGGTGGGTTGACCCTGGCTGGATGCTGGGT